ACAAACTTAGCACGATGAAAGGTGAACAACTGCCAAATAATTGGAACGTACCATTACTCAAACGATACTACTACTAAGGTATGATTTTATCCTTTTTGTCCATTTGAGTTTAAAACTAACTCATTACTGATTTTTGATCGAAGCTATCGAAGACGCCCTATTCACACGAAGGCCTTAGGTTTTAAAGCATGCGTTGCACTCTTTTTTCCTTAGATCAGATTTTGTCCTAATGGGTTTTACCGGCAAGGTTTTTAACGAGGCAACAACTATATGCTACCTAAGGAGGACTCAACAGTATCCAAGGCTTCTTTTCAATCAACCTTGAATACTGGGGGGCATCACCCTCGAAGGCCATATTTCCGAGTAAAATACTTCACGCCTGAGAGGGCCTCGATAGGAAATCTTTGTAATGGGCCAAACGGTCAGATGAACCGTGTCCGTATAGAATAGTCGAGCCTCGACGGCAACATGTACGCATGTATCAATTATTTGAAGAAGCTTCCTATTTATATCAAACACACTTTGTGTCTCAAAGAAGTCTACTATTATACGAGCCTATACTTATAATCCTACGGGAAATGACTCAAGGGCCAAAGCACGAATGTAACCCCGAAATACTTGGGGACTGTCATCGACAGTCAACTCGCCCGAGCCATCGAAAACTCGGACTCATAAGACCTCAAAGAGGCATCCCCCCGAAATAAAGGCCAAGGTCAATACACTCAGGGACTAACTTTTCGAATAAATTCGGAAAGTTATCGGGGAACAAGTCCAAGAGACACACCCGAAGTCTACGGCCAAATTAAAGGCTACGGCCATATAAAAGACTACGGTTATATAAAAGGCTACGGCCGAAATAATGTGACTCAGAGACGTCCGACTTCATAAATTAAAGGCCTTCAAACACTTTGAAAAAACCGGTTAAATCAGGCTACCCTCGGCAAAAGCAAAAGGGCTTTGATAAATTCAGCCCTCGAATAATCTAAAGGCTTCGATATCATCAGCCTCTTAAAACACCTCAAGAGGTGTTCGATTATATTTACACAAATAAATAATTATGGTTCCGATTCATCGAACCCCCGAAAAACCCAATGCTAAGGCATGATTAAAATTTTCACCAAGTCTTTTAGCCGAAAAGAGGAAAAAATTATATAGCCATCCTAGAGGCCGAATCGGCCCAACTTAAAGAGCCTAAGGGCCAACTTCGAAAGGCTTAAGGTCCAAAACGTATAGTTCGAGACTCCGTTCTCACTCGACTCGGACTCAAGAGTTACGGTATCTGGAGCTCACATCGAATCGATTTTCAACTTAGCTCGAGGATTATTATATCAATAAAGACCTATTATGTCCCGAGTCCAAACCAATTCTCGGACCAATCATTCAAGTTATACAATCAATAAGAACAAAATGAAACTCAAAGGTTTTTTATATTCACAGAGGATGTTTTATAAAAGGTACATTTACAACGCCCACAGGGGGCCCTTACACAAAAAAGAAAGAGAACCTAATCTATTTCGGGGTTACGTCCCCGGAAGCAGCTTCCTCGGGAGCTGCACCCTTGGAGATCATATTTTCGAGAGCCTCCTCCCCCTCGGGAACATCTTCCTTACATTACCCGCCCTCAGAGCCACTCACGGCATCTTCGTCATCTGAAGAGACGAGAAATCTGACATCGGTTTCCTGTGCCTTTGCTTCGGCTATCTCCTCAGTGAGGTCGAACCCTCGGGCGTGGATTTCTTCGAGAGTCTCCCTCCAGGCTTGCCACTTGGTCAATTCATCGCTCCGTTTTTCCCGGTCGGAGGCCTCCCTCAGCTCCTCTTGAACAACTACGGCATCTCTTAAGTACACGGCAATGGTCTTATTAGCCGTAACCTTCATCTTCTCAACCTTCAGCCTTAGATTGTGCAGCTTCAACCCAGGCTCCAGCAAGTTCTGCCTCTAACTCTTCGATTTTCTTGGCCTGGTCCAGACCCTTCGCTTTAATACCTCGGAGTTGAGTTTCGGCCGAGGTCAATTGGACTGTAACAGCTTCCTTATCGGCAGCGAGCTGATCCATGTTCTTCTTCCACCTATGACAATCAGCTTTAACTTGATCAACCTCACCCCGGAGCTGCCCAATCATCTCCAACTTTTGTTGCAGCTGAGATATCGAAGTGTTAGTCTCCGAAGTAGGGCCAAGAAGACTGTACCCTGTCAATATCATAGCTACCTACTCATCTAGCTCGGCCTCGTTTTTCTGAACTTTGGCCAATTCAGCCCGGAGCTCCCTAAGCTCTTTTTCCTTTTGGTTACAAAGGAGCCTCAGGGCCTTCTCTTCGCCCGAAACTTTCCTAAGCTCGGCCTCGCATTGGCTCAGCTCAGCCCTAAACTTGAAAATAGCCTATACATGAAGTGAAGATATGTCAGTCAAAGGAAAGGAATGAAAGAAAAATTACAGCAATGAAAGTTAATATTTACTTGAGAAAGGAGACGTTGAGCCTCTTCGAAGATGGTGGAAGTATCGAGATCGGAGGTATCTTCAATCCCAGCATAGCAACCGTGAAAGGGATCTTCCTCGAGGATCTTGCTCGGATCGGGCATACGTAGGGCGTTAGCATCTTCGATTGCCTCCTCAGAATAAGATGGTAAAGAAAGGAAGTGACCTATTGTCATGGCCCCGAGCTCTTCACTCGGGGCGTTCTGATTGGCTTCGAGAGTTTCCACACTCTCCCCTCGGATATATATCTGTTGAAGGCGGAGGAACGATCTCAATCTCTAGGGACACGGGGGCCTTGCCCAAATCCTTCTTTCGTGTTCACTCACCACGGGATGAGGTCTCTAGTTCGGAGAGCTTGGCAGCCTCGATTGGTCTCCTGGTTCGAGGCACCAACGCCGACTCTTCACCATTATTTTCTTCGTCATCTGGGGAATCGTGGTCCGAATCTGCATCCACATAAGCAAATTTCTTCCGTAGCCTTCGAGCAGGGGTTTTCTTGTCTTGAGGGTCTTCAGGCTTCGAAACCCTCTTCCTTTTGTTGTCCTTCCCCGGTTTCGGAATCGAAGGCTTGGTCCCTTCCCCAGGCGGGGCTGGCCTCATTTCGGAGACATCTCCAATGCCTGCACAAGTAAATATAAATGAGTCAATGCCACCAGTATATTAGAAGTATCAGAAACTTGGGAAGAGAACTTACCATGATGTTTGGCCTCCTACTTGCCCCTCGATAATTCATACCATTTGCGCTCATCATAAGAGGAGGTGGCAGCTAACCTTCGAACCCAGTCCTCGAGGCCAGGGACCGCGTTGGGCGCCCAGGTAGTGGCTGCGGAAAGAGTAAAGGCATTATGAGGCGTAAAACTAAGAATAAGTAGAGATTGGGGAGAAGAACTCCACTTACGGTTAAAGTTCCATCTCTCCGGGAACGACATTTTATCCTTGGGGATGACATCCGAGGTCCTTACCCTGACGAACCGGCTTATCCAGCCCCGATCCTTGGCTTCGTCATTACTGTGAAAAAAGGCTTTCTTCGTGCGACGTTGCAACTTTATAAGCCCTCAAAACAGCTGGGGCCGATACAATCGAATCAGGTGGTTGAGGGTGAATTCCAACCCCTCGGCCTTTTCGAAAAAATAGCACAACATGATCACGATGCGCCAAAAAGAGGGGTGAATCTGGCCGATGGTGACTTCGTATGTTTTGCAGAAATCGATCACCACCGGATCGAGGGGACCCAATGTGAAGGGGTAAGTGTAAATACTTAAAAAACCCTCCATGTGGGTAGTAATGCTTTCCTCGGGGCTCGGGATCTGAACCACGACCTCGTCTCCCCAACCACAGTCCTTCTTAACATCTTTGAGGTGCTTCTCCGATATCAAACTAAGATGCAGGATGCATGCTCGCATCGACCTGGGGCATCGGGGGGATTTTCAATACTGAAGTCCTTCTTAATCACGCAACGACCGGGGGTGATTTCTTCAAGAGTCGACAGCGCCACCGGTTTGACCGGTTGGGAGGTAGAAGAAGACGACGCTTTATCTTTTTTGGGGACCGTTTTGGAAGTTTTAGCCATGATTTTAAGCTAAAGAATACAGGTTGTATCGAAATGAGGTGTTTTTACGAGAACCTGGCATTTTTCGGTGCTTAAAGAGGTGGTGGAAACAAATGATTAGAGAAAGAGATGAAGAAGGAAAAGATGTAATGAAAGAGTAAAGTTCTTTACTCAAAGGAATAGCCTCATATCTAATGAAAGAGTCATGTTCGAGCTCGAGGGACCAGACCCGAGTTCGAAGATAGAGCACAATGCGTACAGAGGCCGAGTATGCTCGACCCCGAGATAGTACCTTTATGAATTTGTAACGGAATAAGCTAGATTCCTGCCACGTTCCTATGATCATGGCGCAGATCCCGGAATAGGATTGTACGATTCCGTACTAGGCGGTTAGACAACTGTACCAAGAATATTGCTTACTGTAAATAGAAATATTCCTTATTTAGGGTTCCCCTATTATATAAAGGGGACCCCAATCATTTGTATCGACACATAATCACTGAGAAAAGAATATACTCTCTACTTTTTGCCTACTGTTCATCAGCATTGTCCTTTTGCTCTACCGTTCTTGCTTTACTTTTCTTACTTTATTGCTCTTAGCCCGTCTCGAGGTCATCATCTCGAGGTCACTACTGTCAAGTAACATTGGTTTGATTCACTTGTCTCTTTCACTTCTACTTCATATTTCTTGATTATTAATTGGTATGGAACTAAATCACATATCTTTAAAACGACAAATCAAATTTAATTGTTACTCATATTTTCGAGGTAAATAATATGATAGGGCTATTCTTTTTATATTGAGTTGTTTGTCTTAATTGTAGTCATATTCTCAGTCATCCACATTTGTCCAAAAGCTCAAAATATCACAACAAACATCCATCAAAACTCAAGCCGCAAGTATCAAAAGTTTTATAGTCAAATATTTTGATATATTTAATACCACAAATTTTGAAAATCTTCTTTTTTAATTAACTTTGAGTAAAACTATGACAAACAAATTGAAACAGAGCTAACTTGAAAAGAATGGCGGAGACTTGCCGAAAGGAAGGTCATGGCGTAGGGGGAGGAGTAAGGCGTGGGCTTTTAGTCTGGTGGACTTTCCACGGAATGAGTGTGACGTTGAAGCACGCCATTTTGACTACGTAACGCTAAGAAAAAGTAAACGAATGAAATGTGAGAGAGGAAGACGAAGAAATTAACAGAGCTGAAGAATTTTCATTTTCATTGGCTCTGAAGAATTTCATAATTGGTTCTGAAGAATTTATCATACTATCCCATTGACCCGGTCATTAATTAATTGTCTTCCTCTTTTAGTCCGTTGCTTGTCTTTGTCTCCTTCCTCTTTGAAACTTCCTCATATCTTCTTTTCTTTAATTCTTTATCATCTTTTTCCCTTTTAATTTCTCTAAATTTATGAGCTTTTTCTGCTTTTTTCAGAGACCCAAATCCAGAGGGTCCATACTTTGGAGTTTGGAGTTCTTGAATACAATACAAGAGTGCTACAGTGTAGAGTAAAAATGGTGTTTTGGAGATTGGTTATGTTACTAATTACGCTGATTTCAATTTCCTTTCAGCAATCCAACGCACATTCTTTCGTACATTTAGCTCAGCCTCCAGATTTCCGATCGAAATTAGATAATCAGGTGGCTTACTTTTCTTTTTAGTCTGTTTCAAAAAGAATATCCTACTTTCTCATTTAGAAATATTATAGCTTTAAATTTCTCTTTTTATGATGATTATAGCCACATAAATGAAGGGGAACCTTTAACCGGTAAAGTTGATGTCATGTGACCAGGAGATCACGAGTTCGAACCGTGAGGGTAAAAGCTGCATACGATCGACCCTTGTGGTCCGGCCCTTACTCGGACCCTAGGCATAGCGGGAGCTTAGTGCACCAGACTATCCTTTTTTTAATAGCCACATAAAAGCATATTGTTTGTTTTAGAGCGCAAATTTTAAAAGTTTTTCATTTTTTTAATTAAACATCATCGTCACATAAATTGTGCCAAAGGGAGTGTTTTTTTTTTTTTCTTTAAAAAATTGTTTAGTTCAAGCTGAGGCCAGCTGTGCTTATAGGCTTATACTAATATAGTCCATATTTCTGTTTCTATATTCTTTATTTGTTGATTGTGGAATTTAAAGAACATATATTTTATTCAGTTTGCCCCATCACCAAGCTATGTCGCTGCAGCTAACGCGAATTTAGGTACTAATCAAGCCCCAGTAGGCCAACCAACGGCCGCTTTTGCTAGTGTTAGCTGCACCGGAGCGTCTAATAAGTGTGTGGATGATCATATCAGTATGACTGCCTGCTTTTTTCCTTCCAAGAAAGGTAATTCACCATTACAGTAATTCCTTGTGGTTGTGTAATTTGAGTTCAGTGGTAGCCTTTGCTGAGTATAAACCTGCTGGTGAATTGATTCACACTTAGGGTGTGCTTGGTATAATGGAAAATGTTTTCCAAGAAAACAAGTAGTAATCTTATTCATTTTCCGGTGTTTGGTACGCAAATTAAGGAAAATGACTTCTCAAGAGTATTCATAAATAAATTAGATATAATAAACATGAAGCCATAAACTTTCAAACCGACAACCTTCCGAACTCACAAATTTCATAAACTTTCGAACCGCGGAATTTCGAACCCGTAAACTTTATAATTTTTAAACTCGTAAACTTCCAAATACATAAACCTCCGAACTCATAATTTTGGAACTTGTAAAATTTTGAACCTTTAAATCGATAAATAAAAAAAATTAAAACTGAAAATTACAAAAAAAAAAGTAAAATTTTTTTTGTGCGGTG